AATAGAACTTTATTTTCTGGAATCAATTTATAGGATTTTTGGTCCTTCACACAAATTTTATTGTTTTAAGTCCACATTTAAGCCTACATCTACAATCACACCTATATAATTTATTTACACAATTTTCACACAATTAAAATGCACTGATCCATTATTCAAAGACAAAGCTTGAGTTCTTAATGATCATTATATTTTATTTAGAAGGTGCATTAAAAAATTATAAACAAACAAAAACCACCCCAAGTTATTGAAAATAATGACTTTAATTCAAAAATACTCATTGCATGCATACTAAATTTTAAAATGTCAATCAATCAATGTAAAGAAACTGTCAATGGTTTAAACCATATGTAAAGATAATAATACACTAATAATTCTTAACAATGGAAACCATTTCGAAATCTAAATCCAAACTTTGAACAGAAATTAGCACATATGGCTTTTTGGTCTCAAATTACAAAACAAATCTCTTTTCATGAAAAATTAATAACAATGATTTGTTCTATTGAAACATTCCTTTATTGGACCTATGACCCAGCATTTAGAATGTATTTATTTTTTAACATATATGTGTCAATGAGATTAAGTGAAATCATTTGTCACCATATTTTAACATTCGAGTCATTATTTCCTTGAAAAAGAGAATAAACTGATTGTAGTGTTACAAATCCAAAATGGGATTGCTTTTATTTAAAAAGAAATTACTGTGCCATTAAAATACTAATCCACTGACATAAAAAAAGCAAGACAATGCAGAGAAAGAAATTTTAAAAATTATGAATGAACCATAAATGATAAGTAACTCGCCACTACTTATTTTCTGTGCACAAGAGAATTATCTATTGATACGATAAGGCAGTCTGAATATTCATTAAACAAACTAGATATAAAACCGAATATTTTCTTAGAACAATACTAGAGGACAATTTCCAGAAATCGTACTCTGACAAAAGTCATTGAAATACGGCGACAGAACTTTCTTACGATGTACGCATGCATGAATGCTTAAAGCAACTTAAATGGCAACACAACATTCACAAAGTAAGTGACAATGAAGTACAATTTAAATGTAATTTTCGACATACCATGTTTACAACGCTCCGCAACCACCAGCATTGCCACTAGTGCCCTTGTTTTCCACTAGATGGCAGATGATATCCGCAGTCAAGTTTTGCTTCTGTTTTGGAGGCAATTCAACATGCGTATTGGGGGTGAGGAGACTCTTTATCTTCATAAATTTCTCCTGAAATCATACCCTCATAACATGGATATTGTATTCTTACTAATGATCATCGTTGTCAATATTTGATTTATCATATCTCTAGTTGCGAGAATTAAATTCCAAGAGAGCGTTCAGCAAGTACGAATGTGGAACACCGGCAAAGTATTGTGTTTATTCTCGAAAATAAAAAGACTATTGACATTGAATACATTTCTTCTACTCGTAATAAACTAATTAGATGACATTAATGTACAATTCATGGCGTCATCAATACAAAGCTCTTAAGTGATTTTATGTTGCATTAACAAATTTCCCCCGAGGGGTGAATCAGATTCAAGTAAAAAAATGTAGATTATTTATATTACATTACGAGAAAATCAGCAGGCGCAAATACAATCAGCTACTCATTTTACAATGTAGTAAACGTTACCACTGCGCAAAACTCGACATGGAGCGCCCCAGGTCGTAAGCTCTGTTTTCGGAACACGAGTCCTACGTTATTTTTTCTTGTCTAATGAAAATGAGAACATTTTGGACATATTATTTTAGGTTAACTTCTCACTTCACCTCACTGCGAACAGCCAATGATCAGAAACGTGTAAAATCTCTAAATTCATGTTAAATTAATTTCACTTTTGGCTCTTCTGTAATATAATCGCACGGGTCTGAATTTTTAGTCTTCTTACCCTATCATTTATAAACCTATTTATCTTTGTATTGTAATTACTACCAAATTTAAATTGAACTTCAATTTCTGCATGGAGTTTAATTTCTAGAAATTCCTTAATCGTACGATTATGTACGTATCCTGAGTTGTCATACATGGCTTATGCAGTATTTATGTGACTATTATTATTATTATTATTATTATTATTATTATTATTGTAGTTTGTTAATAAATTATGCGTAATATTTGGTGTTTAGCGACTACTAAAATATATTATATATGCATAGGCTTATGTAGGTATCCAGGTGTCCATGGCAAGCGTAGGTCTTGCGTCCCCCTCAGGATACTTCAAATTAGGGTCGTTGTGTGGTTTGTTCTTTTACCGGGTATACTCTAAATAGTGTCCATGTGAGTGACCCCCATGGTACGTGCCATGTCTGCCACAACGTAGATAGGTCTCTGTCTATATGACTGCCTATGATGTAACGCACAATTCATGAACTATATGTTGTATTCCAGGAGTTTTTTCAATGTTATATTTTCTGTTAATGTACAATTTGTTTTGGATCCAATATTCAGTAAATTAGTGTGGTTACTTAGTGTGGTAAATTATAAGGGTTTCAGGATGAAGCTATTTTTACTTAGAACGTGTGATTGTTCGCACGATTCCAGCTAATTAAATATACAATGTTATTTTTAAAATGCTGTGTGAAAGTAAATATAAAACCAAACGTATGAAAATAATTCCACAAGAATAATAAATAATACAGTTAATCTCAATTATGAGTTTACACTTTATTTTCCATTGGAAAACTCTTTACAGTCAAATGTTTTTCACCCAGTTTAGTAGTTCTTGTTCTTCTTCTTGGAGATCCATTAATTTGGTTAGATGAAGATTCTTTGAGTTTTCAGACCGATTTAATTCAAATTGCTTCGATGGATGAACTTTGGAATCATGGACAAATAATTCACTTGACAAGGTTAAATCTAGAAATGTCGAATCCGACAGGCAGCCGGAGACGGAAGCTTCCGATGAAATACTAGAAAGAGAGAATACCTCGCTAGAAGCTGGTTGTCGACGGACCTTTCGTTTTAATGGATTCTTGGTATTATTCAAATGTTCGTTTTGTGGAAATGTAGAATATCGATCTTTCCAAGGCCTCCAGCAATTGAAATCCCTGCTGTGTTGACGAGTTTCTCTACATCGTCCAGTATTGCGCGCTTTTCCTTTTTTATTACGGAAATGAACGCAAACCACTGGACAAGTTGTGTATATTCTGTACATTACAAGAGGAGGAAATCGACTTCCTCCAAGTTTGAAACGTAACTGAGTGCCGGCTGCTGGATCTACCACAAGAGATGCTTCAGTGGGATTTGTAAAACGGAGAAGACTGGGGCTCATTTTATTGTAACAATTGATGAGATTTCGAAGATAAATGTACACTGTTCTGTAGACGAATTTATGCCAACAGTCACAGATTATCTTAGCAGATGCGTTCAATTTTTCATGATCATTAGAACAAACAGCGAGTGTAGGTGTACGTTGATGCTTTGCATGGGATCTAATGTGCATGATACTAAAATGAAAATGTTTAAATGGATTTTTGCCAATCTTCTTCAAATTTAATCTAAAGATCTCTAAATCAGACAGGCCAAATTGCTTCAAATCCGAGCATTCCGCCTCTTTCTCGTTGGAGTCCGCAGGTTTGGGTTGAATGTCACACTGGCGTGACTGGGATACACTATTTAACAACTTGTTCAGTTTTTTGTGCAACTTATTAAAACTGTGATTCGAAGGATCGGGTGAAGTCTGTATACATTCGTTAAAACTAGTTTCTGAAGTCCTGCAATTTTGTAATACTTCACTTGTAGAATGACGTGTCGAGGTGGTAGATAGAGGAGAGAGGTAAAAACTATTGTCTTCAAAGAGGGCTCCAAAAACATCTTTTGCGTAATCTTGCATGATCATGATGTGTTATGTGCTTCAAATTCATGAAATATTATAATTAGAAATGAAAATATTGTGAATCTTTACCTTTTTCGTCTTATTCACTATAACACAATCCGTCCGTGATGAGGGACTGTCACTTAAACGAGTGGTGCTGCATGGTATGTTGACGTTTGGTTTTCAATACCAGTAGCAGATGTGCTAGAGGTAGGAGCTATCCATCTGTCTTAACCAATTTCTCCTTAGATATCACGAATATTATTCAGAAATATGTTTTCATAATTGGAAACACAGATGAATAATTTAATTATCAAATAAATACAAAGGAAAATAAATGAAGAACATTTGTTCTGCCGAGAATAACTCTACTGGCGTTATAAACAGAAGACGGAAACATTTCAACAAAAGCTGATTTGTGAATCTAATGAAGTAGTCGGAGATTGTTGTTAAGCAACATAATTGTTATCGACATTGCGCAGGTGTGGTGATAGATTATCGTGCTGTTCATGAAGTAAATCACGATGAGCAAACTACAAAAATAGGAAAAATTATTAAAAAAAGAATTAATCTTTATTTATTTATTTTGCTTAGGTCGATTTTCAACGTGGTCATAAACGACAAATACAGTGAACGAAAGTAATATGTGTAAGGTTTAAAGGACATTAAAAAAAATTCTTGCCGATCATTGTCCACCCGAAGTGGTTTAATTTGTTTTACGTAACAAATAAAATGAGACTTCAGACTCGTCAAAATTGGTTTCACCACTGTTACGTGAATTACTTCAAAGATCGTCCAGCTATTCATAAAATAAATCTTGATCACTCGAACTTCGCAAATTATTTCACCGGAGAGAAAAGATAAAATACTCATTTAAAAGAATCATAATACATTAAAAGCTCACAGCTTTTATTCGCATTTTCATTATTTATCAACAGTTTGAAAGTAAATTCCATTTAATGAATTACAATCTAAAGAGTCTGTATCACTTCTTATAAATGGATAAAAAGAACGAAAATGTGGGAAATATGTGTAATACAAGTTTTAAATTGGCCTATTTCATTTTCCTGATTGTATGTACACGCAGCGATCCTGATGACGATACGCTACTTGGTTGGTCGGGAGACTGCTGACGATATGTTCTTGACGTCGTGGTTTCAACATAGATGGCAGTAATGCTGCTGTACGATCCAGCTATCCGTTTCCGGCCACGTTCAGGTGGAAAGCTGAGCGTCATCTTTCAGGCATTACCCATATTTTGAAATATTTGACGTCAAGAATCCTTAGTTTGTCATAATATTTTATTAAATGTTATTTTGACAGTACGTCAAAATGGATTTTTGGTCAATATGGGCTTTATTATCAGCGTTATTGGCTTGTGTATATTTTGCGGATGGTGTAGAACTAACATTTGAGTTACCTGATAGCGCCAAGGAGTGCTTTTATCAAGAAATACAGAAAAATGTTTCTGCTACTCTAGAATTTCAGGTATGTCGTGTTCTGAACTTTATTTTAAACCAGCTGAAGAATTGTTGCCAATAGGTGAAGCAAACTAAGTGGATGCATTAATAACCTCTTCTATTTGTATGCAGGTTGTGACAGGAGGCCAGTATGATGTTGATGTTGTTCTTGAAGCTCCCAATAAACAGATTATCTACAAAAAAGAAATGGCACAGTTCGACAGCTACACATTCACACCTGAAATGACTGGTGTTTACAAAGCTTGTTTCAGCAATGAATTTTCCACTTTTTCACACAAACTGGTGTACATGGATTTTCAAGTTGGTGATGAACAACCTTTGCCAGGAATAGGAGAACACGTTACTGTTATGACACAGGTACTCCCCCTCACAAATTTTATTTACCATTCATCATTGATAATGCTTTTCAAACTGATTGAAATACATTGTATTATTTACAGATGGAAACATCAAGTCAAGAAATCCATAAAAGTTTAAATTCTATTATTGACTATCAGACACATCATCGGTTAAGAGAAGCTCAGGGAAGAAAAAGAGCAGAGGAAATAAATGAAAGAGTTATGTGGTGGTCAATATTGGAGACATTAGCTATTCTTTTCATAACTATAGGACAAGTGTTTATGTTGAAAAATTTCTTTTCTGAGAAGAAGCCTTCACAAATGATGAATGCGAAATAAAAAGTTATTGTTTTTATATACTACTTTTGTTGATAATTCTCGTCCAGTTCAGAGCAGCTGTTCTGTGTTGAAGAACAGAAAGTGCTCATGTTGACCTGCATTGTCTTAGATCTGCAGTTAAGCTGTTGTGGTATTGAAGAAGCTGTATTTATTTTGGTCGCCTTGAATGAAATTGAATGTTTGTGGTCTTCATATTAATGAATCTACAGCAAGTACAAATGCAGGAGAAGAGATCAAGATTTCTTGTCAAGAGAACATTGTTTGATTTAATATATAACTTAGTAATAGTTCTTGGTTAGTGTTACGTTGAGAATACTTCTATTAACTGAAGTTTGAATTCTTTTTTAGTTAAAAATCTGAAATTTAATTTTAGATGAAATCTTAGATTTTGAAATTACTTCACATTAAATTATTATTGCTTATAAAAGTATGTCTGAGACACAGTTAAGCCCACTTTAACGGATGTTTCATTTTGTGTGTGATGACTAAGCTGGTGGTAGACTGAAAAACATTGGTTTTGCTTTACTATATTTTGACATAATAAAGTTTTAGTGAAATGAGTTTGTAGGGTTTGAAATAAGAATTGCACTAATGATTGAAAGAAAGGTTTGTGACTTGGATAGGCTGCAGATCTAGTATTGGAGAAGAGTGTCCTTAAAACTTGTGATGAGTAACTTAATTTTGTACTGTGATTGTCAAATAATGTTAATTTCCATAAAATCCAGTTCATTTAATTCATTTATTCACGAGTATACAAGCTAGTACCATACAATTATGTAAATTTGCCATAAGATAAAATAAAGTGATGTGTTAATGAATGTTTGTATGTTTGTAAACTTGTGGGAAATGAGTGTATATGATTCTTTATAACTGTTTCCAATTCCACCTCTTTAGAATAAAGTACTACATTCGCTGCATTGATATTAGAAAATTATAGTTTTTATTTTTAATCAACTTTATTTAATTAACGCGTATTTAGATTAAGTATAACCCCCGGTGATCGTTCTGTTCTGATACCTAAGGTGCAATGCTAAAACCTGTATAATCAAAGATTCGTAGAGTAAGATGCCATAGGCAGCCTGAAAATGTTTTGCCATGATAATTTTATTGAAATTTGGAGGTGACATCGCGTTCGTCATAATCATGGCATTTTTGTTTTTGGAAGGTTGGTAACAAATTGCACGTGTGACAGTGCGCCCACTGCAGTGAGGCAACTGCACCGATTTGCCGAGTATCTCGTCAAGAATGTATAAAGCGTGTAAAATCGGTACGAGAGTTTGAAGCGACTTTAAAGTTCATGTAACGTATCTGCAGCCGACGTTACCGAAATATGGTAAAACATCTGTTTCGTTCAATGCCTTACAATGGGTGACGAATTGTTTAATTCATAACCTTACTTTTCCAACCCATATGTTTAATATTTTGACATTTGTGACTAACCATTAATTTTCAGGAGCAGGATATTCCTATTGATATACACACTAATAAATTGCTGGACTGGCTTGTTAGTAGGCGACATGTAAATCGCGATTGGCAAACGCATGTTTTGACGATTAGAGCAAAAATAAACAATGCCATTCAGGATATGCCAGTCCATGAAGGAATTGCAAAACTGCTTTCTGGATCATGTATGTTTTTGCTAATTTATATTGACGATTACGTAATCAAATAAAATTTGCTGATTTTAAATGACAATTGTTCAAAGTTTTCTAATTTTGTGTTTCATGGATTTTAAGATATCAATTATTTTCACTGCAAAAAGATAATAGAAATTCTCAGAGAAACTGAAGCTAGCAGCAGAAACATATTTGGATCATATGGCTCTCAGCGCATGAAGGATTGGCAAGAAATTGTAAAGCTTTATGAGAAAGACAGTGTATATTTGGCAGAGGTTGCCCAGATGTTGATGAGGAATGTTAATTTTGAAGTTCCAAGCCTTAAAAAACAAATTGCAAAATGTGAGCAGTTACAGACAGTAAGTTCTTTTAATAAAATGATAACTATTAAATTCAAATGTGAAATAAATTATTTTCTATTTTATCCTTTTTTAGGAGTGTGATAAACAAGTTCTTGATTACCAGAAACGGTATAATTCTATGCAAAATGAATTGAAAGTATTATTCAAGCAGTTGGGAATAGAAGGAAAGAAAGTAAAGCATGAACTAGTGGCAAGATTGCAGGAATTGCCTGACATTTACGATAAAGTAGCGGAAAATGCAAAATTGTTATCTAAGGCTGTGGATTATTATTCTGCGTTTGTGGTATTAATTACAGGTCAGGAACATCCTGGTGGTTGTGTTTCAATGCTGAAATATCTCATTGGTAAGCTTTTTTTAAATTTTTTTTATTATAAATAACTTGTGGCATTTCAAATATTAGAATTGCTGCCTTGTATTTGGCAGAACATGGAAACACTACAACGTATGAATGGACTTATGGAGAAGCACCTATAAAAATTGAAGAACCACCACTAATTGTTAATTTAGAAGATGAAATTGAGAACATTGAGAATGACACTATTGATTTTGGTGAGGATGAAGGTGGAATAGACTTTGGAGATGATAATGGTAATGAGATAGATTTTGGTGAGAATGTGATAGATGAATCAGGGGACATTGATTGGGGCAATTCAACAGAAGTTGAGTCAGCAGAAGTTAGTTCTGCCGAAGCACAAGTAAGATGTAATCAATAAATCCTGATTTTTAATTTTTTTTTTCTGGAATATTTAGTTTATAGAAAGTGCTATTTCAGGAAATAGATTTTGATATATCTCTGGAAGAATCTGGAATTGTTGTAGAGTCTGCTGGTATGGAAGGTGGTGTCGCAAAAGATTTCAATGCATACACTATATTGGATAATCCCAAAACCAGAAACATGATAATTGATGATTTAATGGAGGTGAGAGAATTATTTATTACATAAATCCTATATTTCATTTTTATCATAAAAAATGTCAAACTTATTGTAACAAAAGACCTACTCATTTGGTACACTACTTGTTGATATTGATTGGTTCAAAACAATAAAAGTAAAACTTTTGTATGTATTTTCTTTCATTTTTCAAGGATTTGGAAGGAAAAAAATTTATTTTGAATGACTATTATGATATAAATTATAAAATATAATAAATATATAATAATAATATAATAAATAATAATATATAATATAATAATATATAATATAATAAATAATAATATATAATTTAACAAATAATAAATTATTGTAAATAAAACCATTAAACTGTTGTATTTTTTAATCTCTCAAATGTTCAATAAAGCACACATGGACAAGGAAAAAAATCATAATTATCAGTATGTAAATGTTCTATTGTTTTGCAATATTTATTATTTTACAAACTTAATCCATCATTATTCTACAAAAGCCAGGAATAATTAAGTAATTTTTGGTTACTTTTCCAGAATTGTGCTGTTCTTACATTATCTCTTACATTTATTGTGGTTGTTTTCTACATTGATTGTCATTGCTTTTGACAGAGTTCTACACATCCTCCTTGTCTCATAAATATTCAATTTTCTGTGGATCACGGACCTAAAACAAAGAATTTGTCTACAACCACCATTTTCTGTCACAATCTGCGATTCATTAGTGTTATTTCTATATCTCCCCCCTCCATTATCTACAATTCTGTTTGGTGGAATCTACTTCTAAGTGTATTTTTTAATTGTTATAACTGGGGAGATTTTAATGAAATGTCATTTTTTTCTTTTCACGTTAGAAAAACGCTGTTTAAAATAGATATTAATTTTATTTTATACAAAGGAAGTGACTCATTTTTATGTAATTTTTTCCTATCGTTTATCAGTTTTGACCTGTAAGTCATTTTTTACCATTTTTGTCATTATTGCTATAATTTTAAGATCATTTTAGTGGTCCTTGCTTAAAATAATATTTATGAGATGCCACAAATGTTCCCAACAGAATTCCTGAGTAGCATTCTTCGCTCATAAATTGTAATGTTCACTGTTGTGAGTGTGTAATCTAAGGTTTCTGTAACACCTATCAGCACCTTTGTCTGTTCAGCTGATTTCAGGATAACTAAAGACAAAGATTTCCTGGTAAAGACGAGTCCAAATCAAAAGTTTGAAATCTGAGTTGTTCACTTGAACGAACAGAGGAAGTGTCAGTTACATCAGTAATGCATCCAACAGCTTGAGTTATTCTTCGAAACTAGTTTTGATGAACACACTTTTTACATCATCTTTCTTTGCTCTCAAGGCATTTTAAAATAATTTTAAGAGCATTTTATTGATAATTTTTGGCGTGGTTAGGGCATCAAAATCAGCCCCCTTAGGGGGGCTTTTTACTTTTTAATATTTACGATTGCTGGCTAACAAATTTGGAAATTTTGCTAAATTGTATACAATTAATTAATTGCTTATATACCCCTGATGTGTTTTATATTAACCCAGTGTCCGGAGATTACTTCTGAAATCCGTAGACTCCAGATCAAACCCGAAGAGGTGGCAACACTAGATTGATGTATTCTATTTCTTAACTCTTAACGCTTTCTCATTGCTGCTGATATTTGTTGAAAACACTTCGTTGAATTAAATTGCTTAATTTAAATGGTCGTGATTTTTACACATTTTTTACTTGAAAAAAAAAAGGGGGGGGGGGTTCCAGGCAAAATTCTTGTTGGCAAACCTGATATTCTTGTTGAGCGTCCCACAAAACATATAGGTACCAAATACAACTACACCAAAACTTTTTGCTCTTTGGCCTTTTTAGTATCATTTCAAGCACAAAATTTCACCGATCAGACCTCAAAATGGATTCGGAGCGGTTGAAAAACGTCATACTCTATAGAAGTAACTGGACACACTAGTAATCACTAAAGAATATGAGAATAAAAGCCTTTAGGGGCAGGGGATGAAGGCTAATTTCATCTTACCCGGGGGGGGGTACTAGATAAAAATGACTTATTTTTTACTTTCCCGTGTACATTCGTAAATACGGTGTAATATACGTAGTATAGGGAGAGTTATGTAATGTTACGCAAAAAAACTGAGGATTTTCGGAAGAAAAAATTCATTGCCGGGTGGTGTAGCCAGAATCCCTGTTTTGTGGCTCCTTGTTACCGAAAAGTCATTTGACAGCAAAAAGTCCGTCTTTGCATGTTAACTTTCCCGTATATGCGAAGTAATATACGTAGAATAGGGAAAGCTATGTATTGATGCGGAAAATCAATTGCGAGATTCCAACGTAAATACACATTTTGGGGTCCCCTGATACTGAAAATGTGTTATTTTCAAAATGTCCCTCCGTCCATCCGTTATTATTCTTAAAATAATATTTCCGTTGTACTATTAAAATTAAAAAATTGTATCGAAAAATTAAAAAAAAGTACCAAAAACATGTACTTTGGTTGGCGGCATGGGCATGTGGCAAGTTCGTGTATGCTAGCCGAGAATAAAGGAAATACAAAAATAATAATGGAAAGTCTGTGCCGTTATATAGTTCCTTTAAATTTGTTGTAAGAATAGAGTAAAATACACTTTAAAAGTGGCATAGGTTATATTTTCACGATCAACTATGAATTTTCGAAAATTGCAGTTTCATTCTTTCTGTGTGTTCCTACAACGAAAAAATTAAAGATAGAGATTTTTCTTTCAAATGAAATTTATTGTACATAATCGGTTGTTTCATTTAGGTCATGCATTTTTTTGAAAATTTTAGTCATTACTGCACAGAATATTGTGTGCAATATGTGTAATATTAAAAAATAACAAAAAGATTTTCTCGAAAACAGCTCCATTTTTCCCCTTTAAACTTTTGGTATGAATAGTGCGAAAAGTACTCTTATGAGAGGCCTTAAACGCCACTTGGCGCTATTCTTTGTTTTTTTAAAAATTAGAAACATTTATGTTTTTGACTAGCCTCTCATGACGTTAATATTTACATTAGCGGTGATGGGTTCACATTATCACATTTACAAGTTCTTGTGTTTTAAATGACATTTTATTAAGTTTCTTAAAAACTCTATTGTTTTCTGTGAAAACGAACTCAAAATTCCATGTTTTCAGAAGTGATTAAACGCCATTTTGGCAAAAATGGGTCCATTTTCTTTTTCAAACTTTTCGTACAGGTAGTGCTTATTTCATTGTTTATTACTTTAAATTAATTTTGCTGTATTCTTTTCTTTTTTCAAAAATTACACTTGTTTTCTTTTAAGTATCACTCACGCCATTAGTATACATATTTTCAGCGATTTGTAAACACAATAGCAATTCTGAGTGAAAATGCTACAAATTACTTTCAATGAAGTTTTTCAAAAAATTCTCAAATTTTCTGTGAAAAAAGTTTCAAATTTTGAATTTACAGTAACGCTTAAACATCATTTTCTTAAAAACAGCTTCAAATTTTTAAATGAAAATTGCCATTTATAATGTGATTTTACTTCTCTTTAATACCCCAAAAGTAATATTTCGAATCTATCATTAAGGAACAAAAAGTGACAAAACTTCAAAAAATGTAATTAGCACAGCGGTAGATAGCAGCTGGCAAGGGGATGCAGCAAAACGGTAAAGCTGGTCCAGACCAAGGGAAGTCTGTGCCATTCAATAGCATTAATAGTCACTTTCTGGTGTGCGTTTGAAAATTCAGACATTTTTTGTGATACACAGCTTCAAATTTCACATTTACAGTAATGCTTAAACGCCATTTTCTTAAAAATGGCTCCAAATTTTTTAATGAAAATTTCCATATGAACGAGGTCTTACTCTTGTTTAATATTTTTACTCTTCTTTTATATTCTCTTTATTTCAAATCTATCATTTAAAAACTGAAAAATCGAGAAAACTTCAAAAAATTTATGTGTGGGTGACTGTGAATGTAGCCCACCCCAAAGAAATTTAAAAACTAATACAAAAAAGTATGTGCCATTTTGTAGCACGCTAGTTTATAGGAGTATCTGGACATAATGCCTTATTTCACTTTTGTTTTAGATATGACAGAACTATCTTGAAAGAGTACTTATTTTGTTTTGGTGAAGTGATTTTGTTTGCTACAACTTGATATTTAATTGTAAACGTGAGTACTTTAGTTTGATGTTGCTGATAAATATTGTTAATTTGACTTTCAGCTTCAAGCATTCTTGAAAATGCGTCTTTTTGATATGAAAGGAGCGAATGATTTGATATCTATGAGTCAAATGCAAAGTGCTGATACTATTCTGCAGGTACAGACTTCTGAAAGTATTCTGGCAATGTTGGATGTAGTTCAGGTGACTCTTGCCAACTTGACCAGCACTAGTGCACAATACTTGCATAACATAAAACATTCTGAACGGTAAGTAAAAGTGCTTCCATATCTTGTATTAAATCGGGTGTTTGTTGAATTTCATAAAAGTTCTGGGGATGGAGGTAGGAACATTTACAAAACCAATAATACATTGCTCTCTGTGGTATGCTACAAACAGGAAGAACTTGTGACAGTGGCGTCATCATTATGAAAAACAACTGATGTTTACAAAGAGAAAAAATGAAAGGGGAAGAAAGAAGGAAAAAAAAAAAAAAAAAAAAAAAAAAAAAAAAAAAAAAAAAAAAAAAAAAAAAAAAAAAAAACACAACTCAATATTTATGTAATAAAGGTTTCATACATATAAGCTATCATCAAATATATAGATTTCCTATTTTATCTTTAAAATAATGTTACTTTGGTGTCTGGGTTAATGAAAGAATTAATATTGTAGGGTTTGAAAGGAGTTTGGATAGGAGTTTGAAAGATGACATAAAAACTATTTAAAAATGAGCTGAAAATAAAGCACTTATTCCTAAAAATTCTTGTGAAAATTCTCTTAGAAAAATGACCTAAAATATTTTTCTTTCTTCGGTTCTGTCAATTACTAGTTACAATGAATAAAACATTTACACATACATACTGACCTTTTCCTTGACTCATGGGTTATTTCAGTCAACCTGTCATACTATGAAATCACCAACGATTTCTTTTTAGAATTTGCAGACCTCTCTTTTTCTTCTCCCCTATTGACAACTGCCATTGGACTATGGAACCCTATTAATGTGGTTAGTGCAGGGACAGTGCAGAATTTCTATTTAGGGCTGGGCAAGTAACCAGCAAGAAAATAACCAGAAATTAAGAAAAATAAATGAAAAAAAATACCATAACAAGTAACTATCCAAAGTCTCAAAAATCTTCAAATATTAATACCAAAAGCAGTAGTGTCCCTGAAAATTAGAAAAATGGTGCAAAATTATCAGGTTCATAGCTATAATTGTTATGAATGCTATTTGGCATCTTCATATTTAATTATCAGGAGATGGTGGAATAAATAAAATCATAGTTAAGTTTATCCCACTGCTTTTTAATACCTCAATTTGTTTCTGCTGAATATTATCTTACTGTATGTTTCATTCATCATAACTAGTGAAAGAAGGTTGGAGGTAATAATCTAAAATTTTATTCTAAATAATAATAATAATAATAATAATAATAATAATAATAATAATAATAATAATAATAATAATAAACATTTCTTATAAACTATTATTATCTTATTATATATTTTTCATTTATCACAACAAGTGAAAAAAAGGGGGGATAACAGTATAAAATTTTATTTTTATGGTTATGTAAATAACTACTCATTACTTTTATCTAATGATAACTTCTGATTCCTTTGTGATTTTTCAGATTTGTTGAGCATATGGCTCACAATGTAAAACAGAAAGAATCTGTAATGCAACGCTGTACGGATTCACAAGATGCTGCAAGAAAACGGAAGGTGGAATTGCAAGAGGAGGCTAAGGCTTTGCAACCAAGAGTCCAACTGATAATTAAAAAAACAAAAGAACTGCAGAAAGAGGTGAGTTAAATATTCATTCACATCAGCTGCGTAATGAAATGAGTGTGGGCCCGCCCACAAAACTTTCATCCGGGTTGCCTTTATTAAAGTGTTTAGCAAACGCAAGTACTTTTAGTACCTTAAATAATAAAAATTTTCTTTAACAAATTGGTTTTGATCAGTGTGTGAGTACTACATAGACAACCGGAAACCTTGCGCTTACAATTCTTACAATTGCAAAACCTCCAGCCTAAAAATAGGCCTTTCTTTATCTGGGCCTTGAGGGCTTTGTGGCCCCAAACATTATGCCTCTGATTCACGTACAGTGTTTTCCCTTTTCTGTAACTTTTTTCAAGTTCTGCATTTTTAAAATGGTTTAAATGTAAAGAAATATATTTTTGTGAAACATAATAATACAAGAGGCCCTTAAAAAATAATGTGTTTAATATTCTTAAAGTAATTTATTTAGATTTTGTGATCTATTATATCCCTTGTTATTGCCCTCTTATCTACACATTATTGTGGTTCATTGCATGATCTCCACTTGCTGTCAAGTTCATACCAGAGAGTGCCTGAAATAAGTAGACTCATGCCAGTGCATCTCTCAGATGTAGCTGCAACTTTTTATAAATGGCCTGAAGAAATACATATTTGATTTAGGGTTGGTTAGTGGTAGTTAATAATGGTTGAGTACCCAGAAAGAAGAAAATAGGGAGGAATATAAAATCCAATGAAAGAGAGTTAGAAACATCATAAGAAAAGAAAAACAACAATCATGGGAGTGTAAATGTCAAGAAGTAGAAATGTACATAGGTGGAACAAAAACAAGTGAGATTTGCAAGTTCGTAAAAGAGGTAAAATCTCGCCAAATTGAAAAAATCCACTTACAAAGTATATCTGTAAGCAAATGGGAAGAGTACTTTAGAAAAGTATTAAATGAAGGAAGATCAGACTTTCTTGGAGCTATAGATAGGGAAAAGATATCTCAGGGTAAGGGAAATTACAGTAACCGAAGAGAGAGTTAAAAGATGTATCAAAGAAATTAAAGGTTGTAAATCTCTGGGTCCTGGAGAAATCCCAAGCGAATTGATAAGGAAATGGAATACCAAAACTTGTGCGAATGATGACAAAGCTAATGAATATGTGTATCTATAAAAGGGATATACCAAAAGTCTGGAAAATGGCTTATATAACACCAATATATAAGAAAGGAAGGAAAGACATGTGTGAAAATTATAGAGGGATAGCAGTGACAAGCACATTAAGTAAGGTATATGGAAGAAGATTAAGAGAATTAATCGAAGATGAATACAAGCAATATTTTAGGTGTAAATATGCTTTCTATGTCAGTGTAATTATGTTTGTTGTGTTGATAACTTTGGATTTATGACAAGTGTTACTGTCTAAATTGACAAATCTTTGCCGATGCGCATGATGTAAAATGTGAAGTAGACTACTACAGAAAGTTAAATTTATTTGTAATTTGCATTAATTTACAAATATTCTTTTGGCAGATTGAGCAAGATATTTCAAAGCGATACAAAAATCGGCCTGTAAACATCATGGGTGGTGTGAATATGATGTAATATGGAGATATACATGATTTATAGATGTTACAGAGTAAGAAATTTCATGCAATTAAATTGGTGATTTCGAAAGGTTGGTGTTATTTTTACCTACTGGAGATCACCAGAGAAACATGTCTGAATGCAGGCTGCCAGGTAAAACTTGTGTTTTGATTTTCCTTTTTAAAAGCAATATTTTGGCTACTGTACTGAATTTTATTGATTAATATTAAAAATGATGTTGTAATTGTCCTTTACTCTTTAACCTTCCTGTTAGTATATGGGAATTGTACTAACAGATTTACTGCTTTGATATTTTTATGAAGAATGGGTTGGTTAAACCCAGGTAGACAATTTACTTAAATACGACAATATCATTACTTAACTTACATTCTTGCTGCTCCAAAATGTATATGGACTCTCTGGAATTGTGGTGTAAGCTCATGGTGTTTGCTTAATCATATCAAAATGTCTGGATGTACATTGAAAACATACAAACAGAAAGAATTTTGAAGTGCTTTCAGAAAGCAAAAGAAAGAGATTTTATCAATGATTCTAATTTTGAGTTAAGCTGTTCTTCTAACTTTGACCATAAAAACAACAGTTAATATGAAATTGCTTGAAAGTTAAGAGAATCATGCAATTCACAACATTTGAATGACGTTCAGTGACGTTTGTTGAGCAGTTTCCTAACATGTTTTACTGAAATTAAGTAAAATAAAACTCTTTCATAAATATTTCAAAATATAAATAATTTTTTAAGTAGACATGATAAAATCTTATCTAAGACACTTCCCAGGTGACATGGAATAATTCTGATTTTACTCAACCGTAAGTAGTGAAGTATTTTGAAGTTTTGATAGGAATTATTAATTAACAACTTTGTGATTCTTACCAAAAATGCATATATAATGTGATTCATGGAATGTAAGACAAAATCCACATTAAAAATCACATCCTGTCTTGCATTTGCCGAGTCAGGTAAAAATTGTTTGAAAATAAGTTTCTCATTGTATTAATTTTTTAAGATAGTCATATCTTCCTTATTTATTCCTATAAGAAGAAATTAAAAATATTCTGAAAATTTGTTTTCCAACAACTATGTAATAGAACATTATGTGTGTGTTAACATTTTTGACACAAGAGTAAGGTTAAGAGTAACAATACAAAAAAGTCTTGCTTATAGAAACTGGAATTAATTACAGAAACACACAAAACATCTTTTTGTGTTTTGCACCAAACACATCTGTGCGTGATTAAAAAAACTTGTGAACTTGAATGTTTCTATCAAACTTTTCATTTATCTTTTCAGTTTATTTGTGATGTTTCTGAGAGAATGGGGTTTAGTGTAATGAAACATTTTTTCATAAAGTGAGGAGAACCATAACAGCACAAGATGATTCATCAAAAGAATTCAATGTGATTTCTTTCCAACACAGTGTTTTCTTCACATTAAAAGGGAAAATAAATTGTTTTTTCCTATTTATAATGTATCTTTTTCCAAAAGTTCATTTAGATATAAATATATTTTATTAGTTCAAACTTAAGTTTGAAATTTAGCATCATTATAAATCATTGTGTGATGTTGTTTCGTAAATGTTTAAATTATTTTTTTCTATTGATTGATATTCTCAATTCTATGTCGTTAGTGGGTAAGGTAAGTTTTGATAATCGTAAATTATTCTGTCAGTCACGCAATGCAAGACGAAAATTTTATGGAAGTGAAGGGAAATCGTGTCTATCAGTGCAGTCTGTCAGTATTTTGCATTTAAAAACAGCATGTTTCTGGGATGATTACCAGTGAAAAAAAATCTTGATTCATAGTCTAAGGAATAATTGAAGAGTTTTCTATTGGTGTTAATAGTATGTCATTAAGGCTATTACAAAAGTTGAAAATTGGCATGATTTGTAAATATATTTGGTGGTTATAATTTTTGCAATTTTTTGATTTGCTAATTTTTGATGTATTTTACTGTGTTTATAAATGTTCATACAATCCAATTTAAAATATATAAATAAATAAATTTAAAAAATGTCAGCATCACGAATGTTTCTGAAATGACTTGATGATTAATTACTTGAATTATTTCAGAAATATGTGTAAATTTAACGTGTCTCTTCTGGATAAATTATGCCTGCTTTGTTTTCAGTCGGATATTTAATAAAGAAAGTTTAATATTATATTCATCAAAATTACAAATGAATAATTAGTACTTAGTACAGAATTATAAGATTTGAAACATAATTCCTTCAACGTGTTCAATAAGGCATTTGGGTATAATGGTACCTGAATTTTTAGGCAAAATTGAGATTACTGGCTTCTATGAAGGAGAGGCAGCTCTAAATTCTAAACGATTTCAAGAAGGGACTAATGGCAATGATAATTTCTTCATGAATGCAGTTGATGCTCATATATGCAGCTTATTTCATATCAGCAATTGGCATTAAACTGTTATAAACAATTATTGACATCCAAAAACACCAAATATGACTTCATTAGTGACAAAGTATTTATTTCTGAAATAATTTTGAAATGTTTTGTTCACATGACAATATAATTCAGTGCACTTATTCAGTCACTGAATTGATGACAGTCACTGAATTTACTACTGTTTTGGAAAGCAAATTGTTAACATTTTATAGTGCCTACTTAGAGGAAGAAGTTAGTGTCCTTTTAAAGAGCAGAGTATTGGGACAGGGTAAGAATTAAGTGCAGTGATTAGATTTGATTTGAAAGCAAAGTATAGTACAAATAAATTGGTTAATTGGTGATTTATTTTTGGATTTTATTTGGTGTTGTTAAAATCATCTGGGGGGAAATTTCAACTTCAGGGTTTCTCATTAATATTATTTTTGTAATAAAATGGATTTTATAATAAACTATAATGAGTGTACAATGTTACCTATGAGAATAAAATTTATATTGTAAATCAAACTTATGTTATTGCTTTGATTGTAAGCTGTTGCAAAATGTATTGCTCCTACCTGACAGCTATGTTGCTTAACGCAATTTTGCCACCCCTCACCCCTCCCTTTTATCAGTGAAGGATTGACATTTGTATAAGCCAGTCCACCTGATTTAATTTGATCACTACTCAAGGATCTGTTTAAGGATTGGCAGAGCCATTGGCATTACTCGTGGGGAGCAGAGCGACAGACCACCATGGATGTCACCCAAATTACTTTTAAAAAAGTGTTTTTCAACATCCATCACTGTATTTGTTTTCTAGTAGTTTAATAAATAACTACAGTTCCACTCATAAGTTTTGGTTTGTTTATTGTAAATTTAGAAAAGTCAAGAAAAATTAAATAAGTTTGACTCAAAAGTTATACTTCTCAAACAAACACTCCAATTTGTCAAATGTTTGTTCCACTGTTCATAAATCAGGAGTTGGATGCCTCTTATTTTGAGAGTAATATTCTCTGTGATAAAAAAAAGTTATGTTTGTCAGAGCATTTGATAAAAATGTCAATATGTTAATTATTCATCCCTATATATGCATTGGACAATTATTTAGAATTTATTTTAAATTTAATACTTAAATAAAGTTTGTCACAAGATAATGTGAAGATGATATGTTTCATTTGTTTGAATTTTTTGTCCATTCTTCTGGCCTTTTTTAAAACATTTATTATTTAATTCTAACTAATAAAAACTTACAATTTAATAATTTATTGTTCACCAGGAATGTTATAACCTCCAAATGAAATCAAAATGAAAATTATGAGAGCAATCTCTCATTTCAAGATTCACATAAAAGGAAATATACACAATTGAGAGAAGAGCAATGTTTAGCAGCACATACAATTGTGACCATTTTCTCTCTTTATGAATCTGAAGATATCAATGAGCAAACCTCTCTGATGATATGGGCAATCATGAGTTTAGCATGGGTCTTGTTAAATATAATGCAAAGGGCTTCATATGTTTATACGATGTCCTAAATGATGAATAAATAGCATTTGTTGATTTGATATTAGAAATGTATAATGTACTCGTGTCAGAAATTAGAGCAGAGAATAACCTTGAGGTTTTTGAAGAATAATCTTTTTAGCTTTAAGACAGCTTTTTTAAAAATTTTTTAGTTTATTTTTTGGTGTGAGGGTGTGTGAGTGGAGGGTGGACGTGTGCACGCGCGTGTGTGTTTAAGGTCGCATCAACTTCTAGGTCATTAGCGACACCTATTGCTTATAACGGTATGGTAACTGAGAATGACACGATATGATGATGATAGGGGGTGAAACGACGAACACAATACAACCATGCCCAAGGCGGGACTTGAACCCCCTTTGGTCCGAGATCGCTATTGCCTATCGCCTTAGTGATCTCGGCCACCGTATCGGCAAAGACAGCTGTCTTATTCGATTAAACATAGTTAATGAAAAAATAGTTTATTGCTATCATCAATTCAAAACAATTTAGTATCATAATGTTGTTTACCAAAACACTCTGTTTGTGATTACATAGCAAAGCGAATTACATTATCAGCCCTAATAGCAATTATAATATTTGGTGTCCAAATGAAATATGTATAAATCGTTGTAGTTTCATATTTCACATTGTCATACATCAACAACAAACATTTCCAATTTTTTGAATTGAATTTGCCTTATTTTACGTGGCGAGACTCGGGCCATCAGGCCCGCTCTTCCGTCTGACCACGCAAATTTCGCTACGCTCCTTTCATCAACTAGCAGAGAAAGGAGATATTTCTTGGGCGAGAAACAGGCGATTTGAATTTAGCTCAGAGGCGTCATTTAGGCTTGAGGATCTTTTACACGCAAGTAAATCTACGAACATGGGACAGCCGGCTTTACTTCCTCTCCGAAGGAAGGCGTACGAAGGATTTTTTCGCCCTTAAAAATCCACGGCTTCGATCGGGTTTGAACCCGCCAACTTGGGTACAACAGTCCAGTACGCTAACCAATATAATACTAATAGCAATATTACTTGAACTGTATATGACTTTCATCTCATTCATTGCTCTTTCAATTTACGCACTAATTTTGAATTGCGCATTTCAATTGGTGGTCTCTTCTCCTACAATTTGCCTCATCTCCACCCCTCAAACTTCTCTGCACTGGCACTCGAGTGGCTTGCGTGCGCCTCTTGAGGTTAGACAAAGGGCAAAATGCTGTGCAGACCTGGATTAAGGCATAAGTTTTCTCTACTATACCATGCACATCTAATGAATGATATATTGCATTTTGTCCTTCACATGTATTGTATTAAATTTTTAAAATGTGCTCTGAGAACTGACAGCGTTCAAAAGAATAGGCTCAAAATACTATTTCTTCAATACATCGTAAATGTATCAGAGAAGTTTTTAATTATTTTGTCTGACCTATTGAAAATAACTAAAATAATAATAGTAGGTAGTGAATTACTGGAATATAAAAAACATTTTTCCTTATTTTTAATGCAGGCACTTCTTTTATAAAACCACAAACTACTAACAAATACAAGAGTTCCAAACAACCAAAACTTAGCGAATTCATCCATCTGAAATAGTTTCTTCATTTCGCTTAGTTCAGCATTGTAAACCTCAACCAGGGAGGTACTGCATGCATTTAAGTGATAATAGTTTGAGGTGAGCGAGTTTAGTTCCAAGATTCCTTTAATATCATGTGGTATGACGCCTCTTTAAATGAAGTTGAAATTACAACAGAATGAGTCACGTAACTTTAGTACCTCCTATAACTTTTGAACAGTTGAAGTTATTGCAATGCAGTTTTCGTGGAAGTGCATGAGAGAACGAGGCTAATTGATAAGTGTATTTATGTCTATTTTTCACTTGTACTTTACGAGATATTTGAGGATACTTCACGAGATATTTGAGGTAACTTTGGTATTTGAGGATACTTAATTAGATATTTGAGGTAATGTAGCTTGCCTCAATCCCCCCTCCCCGTTTAGTGTTACGTAATTTATGGATCTGTTAAAAAAAAATGAAATTTGGGACATGTCTTGAAAATATTTGGAAAATGCCGAGGCTTTACGTAACTCCCCCATCAAAATCTAAATTTAAATTTATGTGGCTGTGACATCGCCTATCGAACAGGGAATATCAGTTTTGATTACAAACCTGTGAACAGTTTAGTCGCTATCCAAATAGACACAGATAGATTGACGTTTTGGCGAAAACCAATTTTTCAGAATCTAGGAATCACGAAACAAATTCTGAGTCAAGGTTGCTACTTCCTGGAAAACTGGGAAAATGAGGGAATTTCATTGCATTGTTAAGTCGGGGGAAAATTGGGGAATTTGTAGAATCATTAGAAGTCAGAGAAAATTTTTAAAGGATATAAAACTAGATATTGTCCCTTGAAACCATTAGTACAGCATTACAACAAACATTTTTTGTTCAGGTTTTATTTGGCGATACAATATTGTTAATTTGTACTTTGTCACGGAGAATTCAGAGAGCTAACCAATTAGTATCAGGATTGCTA